TTATCCCCTTTTGTATCAATCTTCTTTTTCTGTTGAGTTTGATGATGCACTGATAAAATATGGCAGATTAAACTGTATACACTGATGTGACAGTAGTTATGGGTAAGGATATAGTATTATGCAGCAGCCCCAAAATTCAACTTATTTTCATTTGACCACACCAGTGACATCCATTCTTCTGTCCATAGGTTTGTAAGGGATTTAGGTAATAATGGCACTGCTAAAAATGTCACAAATGGAAAAATAGTAGCTATGGTAGTTGTCTATTCTCCAGTAGGTTTCAGATCTCCAAGTCTTTCTGGAACTCGTGGATAGAGTTATGATCTTTGGTTCTTAACACCTTTGCATCAACTGATAAGTCAATCCAGGTTGTTACTGTAAATCTGCTAATTGGGTTCTGCTGCTTTTCTTTTCATCTTCTTGATGTATTTTCCTGCTGAAATAGCTGCATAATCAGGAGTGTAGTTGTAGTCAGGGTCGGCGCTAGAGTTCCCCCCACCATCATCTTTGATACAAGGCCCCCTCTCTATTATATGTTGATTTCAAAATTTCCCAATGTGGGGGCCACAAAACCTCAAAGGAAAATTGTGGGGGAAGGAAGGGCAACGCTTTTTTTTTTTAATTACCAAAAATCAAGGAATTATCCAATTTAAATGAAAATTTCCGTACATATTCATTAAATATTTCCTTTTATAATGAATAGTTATTTTTTTTTAAAGAACATCTTAAAAATATGTATTTTTTTTTTTTGTAATAACCACCAATATTTTCATCAACTACTTACTCAAAAAACATGTTTAAGTCGCAAATTTTTACATTTCCATAAAGATTAATCACTGACGCATCTCCACTGAAAAAAAAGTTTTACAAAGATTCCAACACAACACAAACAGGATTCCCTTAAAAATCTGTTTTAAAAACAGAATTTCATTTTTTAGGAAAATTTTTAATGTTCTGAAATCTTTAAACATTTTTATTTTTTAAACAATTATTTTCTCAGTTTTATCTTTTTAGAAATTTAAAAAATAGGGACTAGAAAATTTATTTTAATTAGTAGCCATGGACTTGTGGTTAGTATTACTATTAATTAAAAAAAAATCAGAGATCCTCCTTAGTGGATGATCACAGAATAAAAAATGATTTTACCGAGATATATTACCCGCTGAATTGATTTAAAAGAGCTGTTTAGAAAGAATTTCCATTTTAAAAAAAAATAAGGGCTACTGAAATTAGTACTTCTGCTTCCCCTTCCTAGTAGGCATGGTGCCACCACCATGGTTGATAGATTCGGGGTAGTAAGTATTGGTCCTGTCGATTATTATAGTTGATGATTAACAATATAACTGAGGTAGAAAAAAAAGCAAAAAGTACAAAAAACCAAAAAAAACACTGCTGAAACTAGCCCTTTTTGGGACTCCAACCTCATCGAGGCGGATGGGGTTGTGTAGTATGCACCACACCGGCCATGCAGATACACAATGTATATTATTAGTTGATGATTGCCAATGTAACATCAGTTTAAAAATAATTTTAAAAAAATGGTAGATGGCCATAAAACACTGCTGAAAAAAATGTCAGAGGCTACAATGGGGCCCAAAAAAATACTGACCAGCCGTTTTGGGGGTAAGATGTGCCGGATCTGGTTGTAGTTATTAGCTGACTCAGCATAAGTCATATAAAGACTGATGGTCATGGTACTTTTACAAAAAGATGTTCTCTTAACACATCTCCACCTGATAATAGTTGATTTTGTAATCTGTTTTGTATCTATGTATCCTTGAAAACAAATCTTCTCTTTTCTTTTATTATTTGATATGACTTCCATGATGGGGTTATGGTAGAAAAACCACTGAGATCAATGGTGTTTACTTGACAATTACTGAACAACTGAACCAGAAGTAAATTTAATAAACAGACAACAACTGTCCTCTGATAAGAAATTTAACTTTAAATAGCTTAAAAATAAAATTAAACAGCTACTTTTTAAGCTGTTTAAAAATCTGTTTTTCACTTAGGCCATTTTTACTGTGCCATTAAAACTATCATGCCATTATTACTGTTCACCATTTGTAAGATATGATGATTTTGATTTAAGAAGAATATTTTTAAATTTACTTATATAAAAAGAGTTTAATTTTACTCAAGTTTTTAGCCAAATTGCCACTGTTTTACCAAATTTTATAATGTCGTAAAAGTTATTTTACAGCATTTAAAAAAAACAGAAACAAGAAAAACAAAGAAAGACCTAGCAAAACAAAAACCAACACCCAGAAAATGTTTCTATAAACAGTTAACATCTCAATTCCAAACAGCTCTAACAAAAACATTTGAAAATTCAGATCATATATTTATACAATGTATGTCTACTTTATTGACTAGTGTAAACTGGGCAGTGAACAATAATAATGTCTCCTTAAAATGGCCCCAGCAAAAATGAATTGGTCACAACATAATATTCTAGTTATCAAATTCTGTTTTTAAAGGTTAATATAAAACAGTCTGCTCATGTCTAAACATATTTGGTTTTATTATGATTGTTTTTCATAAATTTTTAATGTATAAATTTATATTAACAAAATTCTACTATTTTTGGTAATATTATAAAATAAATAAAAGGCTATATATGATATATTTTTTTTGAAAAATTAGATTTCATTCAAAAACACCTTTTTTCACCAATAGTGTATATTTCAATAAACTTATTTTTTCCTATTTTTTCACTTGTGCCATTTTTACCTGAATCCAAATTGGGCATATGTCTATCATTTTTTACTCTAATATAATCTAACCAATGTCTAAATTTTTAACACTAATGTACCTTTTTGGCTTTACTGTAAAGTGGACATATGTCTGCATTTTTGTCTCTAGTTTAAACAAGTTATGTTTGTTCAGGGAACACCAAATGTTTCCTTATAAGGAAACAGCTAATATTACCATTAAAGAGGAAGAGAACAGATACTACACTTTGATGCAAGCCTGATAGCAAAAGAGTAAAGAAAAGCATAACTCGAATAGCACCAACAGTTCAGTTAGTGAACACCAAATGTTTCCTTATAAGGAAACAGCTAATATTACTATTGGAGATGAGGAGAACAGATACTACACTTTGATCCCAACTTGATGGCCAGGGAATGAAAAAAAGTATAATGGAATAGCATTGGTTGTTCAATCAATGAATGCCTAAAGTCTATATTTTTTTACTTTAATATATATATCAGACCAATGTCTAAATTTTTTACTCTAATGTAAACTACACGTATCTCTATATTTTTTATTTTACTTTAAAGTAGACATATGTCTACTTTTTCGTCTATAAACTGGACTTATGTTTACCTTTTGGGCTCCATTTTAAACCAAATTTACAGGGTGCCATGGGTAAATTGTTGCCATTTCATGTTTTTAATTTTGTGCATACATGTCGTTTGTTTTTTATTTCGTCTGTGATAAAAGAGCACCATGATGCAATTCACTCTGTCAGAAATTTGGGAACAGCATGCTGTATTGCTTGGCAATCGCACTGGAAGCTCCAATACAAACATTTCACAGTGTTTGGGTGTAAATCTAAGGACAGTACAAAGGATTCATAAAGAGTTGGATGAGTCTAATGGTGATTACAAAGGTACGGCATCTCAGAAAACTCACTCTGATCAATTTGATAAGAAAAGAATTTCTGAATTTGTTGATGAGGGCCTCAGACTCATCAAGTTTTTTGAGGAGGTAATGCTACCCTGGATGAAGAGGATGGCTGCTGGAAGACCCCATATCTGGCAACAGGACTCTGCACCATGCCACACCAGCAGGAGAACCCAGTGATGGCTGTCAGACAATTTCTGCAACCACATTAGCCCTTACATCTGGCCACTTAACTCCCTAGACTGCAACTACCCTGATTATTATGTGTGGGGCACAGGCCAACAAAACTCCTTGTGATACCAAAGACAAACTGAAAGTAAGGATTATGGCAGCATTCACCAAATTAAACAAGGAGACCGCCCAGAAGAGATGAAGAAGATTCTGAAGTCGTCTGGAAACTGTGGTTGAATTCAATGGCGATTTTATTGAATAAATTTACTCTTTAGTATTTCAAGATATTTTTGTGTAATTTTGGTAAATATATCTGTTAAAATGAGATGTCAGTATTACTTTCATTTTTTGCGTCATTTAGATGACAATTTATCCATCGCACCCTGTATAATGAGCAGGCTCTAGTTACAATTCCTGTGAGAGACTTCATAATCTGTTATGATCAGCAGTTTGAACAACACCAGTATTCTCAAAACCTCTGTCATGATGACTTATGACTTTGTGCTTGTCAGTGTTATTTTCATTTTTGCATCATTTAGATGACAATTTACCCGTCACATCTTTTTGGTATCCAGTGTAAACGAAATTTATGTCTACCTTTCTATTTTCATTTTGATTTTTGTCCATTAATACTTTTATTTGATATTAAATCACCCATCAAAGGTTGATATGGCATAAATTAACTAGGGAATAAAGAGGACAAAAACAGTATGTCAGAAGAATTTTGCTACCAAATCTTCCAAATTAGAAAGGGCTGCTGACCTAGAAAATCAGTATAAAAATTCTTACCTTTTTCCTTGGCTTGAACCTCAACCTGCCATACTAGCGGTAAATATTTCACTAGATTTTCTGCCTTAAAACTCATCAGTTTATTGCCAAAGCCAACACAAGTTAGTATGAAAGGAGATGGTAATAAAAAGATTTGCCAATCTTCCAAAAGTGGGTGGCAGCTTTGAAAACCTTTCACCTGTGCTGATGTCTGGCACCAAGAAGAAGTACAAGATCGGTCAATCTACGATTCTCAAACTAAGAATGATTTCAATAATACTGAGATAGAAAAAAATTTCAGTTTTTAAACAGGTATTTAAGTATTGATTTTAAAATATGTTTTCTTGCATTTTTTTCTAATTAATTTCTTTTTCTTTCTTTCATTGCAGGTAAGCAATTTTCTGAATTTTGCCATTGGATGGATGTAGATGATCCTCCTGATGGCTGCAAGTAGACATGAAAAACCCTTACCACTCCTCCTGTCATTGAAAAAAAAAAACGTAAGATCAAACCATCTTTATATGTCTTCTTTCTCATTAAAAAGTAAAATTTGAAAATCCATTCTGTAAGTATATTCATCAATTCTCTTTAGATATAGAAATTACAATTAGTCTCCGCACCCTTTATACATAGCAAATATATTTCAATACTCTGGTGGATTCCTGAACCTGTGGACAATACTGAACTATATATTATATACTGGACTATATATTATATACTGAACTATATATTTAGTTTCACACCATTAGCATTGTTATTATATATCAACCACTGTTTTATTACTATTACACTCAATGGACAGTACTCTACAATTTCATATATATATATATATATATATATATATATATATATATATATATATATATATATATATATATATATATGTGTGTGTGTGTGTGTTTTATTTTATGTGCGCAGTACTTAGTGGAAAGCACTCAATATCAGTGATAGAGCTAACATATTCTCAGTTGTATGGATATGAGTTTGTGACCCTGGTTTTCATGCTTTTGCTATCATCAGAAAAACTGGTTTATTTCTTAAAATTAGATCTATTTATGTTTGTTTGACTATGTTTAGTGGTGGGAGGAGGAATCTAATTCAGTGTTTGTTTGGGGTGACACTCTCATATGCCATTTTCACACTTTTGCGATCATCAGGCGTATAAGAGTGTCACCCCCAAACAAACACAGAAGTAGATTTTTGTCTTATAAGACTATCAAGGATTTTTATGTCATTAAATTAATCAACTTGAAGATTTTTAGTGGAAGATTTTCTAAAGTGAACGCTTGAATGTTTGAAATAAAGGGAACATTTCAATACTTAACATAAAGTGAACACTTTATTGTTTAATATAAATCAAGCACTTCATTGTTTAATATAAAGTGAACATTTTATTGTTTAATATAAATCAAGCACTTCATTGTTTAATATAAAGTGAACATTTTATTAATATAAAATGAACACTACATTTGTTAATATAAAATAAATATTGCATTTAACTTGTCAGTGCAAAATAATAATAATTTTTGCATTAATTAAAATAAGTGCTTCTAACAAAGAATACAGCTTTTTTTAAAAAAAAAAAAAACTTGTATTTCATTTCTTATTTTATACAGAAAAACGATGTTTTATTTATTAAAATTGCCTATTGTTCACTCCTCCTCTAGTAATTAATCTTGGCTAAATTAATATTTTGCATTTAATAGAATCAATAACTTTTAATCGATATCTATCTGAACGATTTTTGATATAATCAATATAGTTATTTTTTTTTTCCTGGAGATTTAAATTTATTGATTGCTATCAAGATAAACCTGAAGCAACGAACGGGATAAATAAGAAATGTCTTTGAGGTCGAAGACGACATCAAGAACTTATTAGTGGTTTCGAATTTCATTTTTATTCTCTAATGATTTTCAGCCTGATAAAGTAACATACACTTGTTAGTACAAGTGTTTACTTTTTATGAGATTTGGCAAGACTTGAAGAAAAATTTATCTTTATATTTTTTTAATCTAATAAGAGAGATTCTATCACCAGTGGCACTTCCAGCAAATACGAATAACACCAAGCTGCAACTATATATAAAAAATTAAAAAGTATAGTTTTAAGGTATGCTATATTTATGGGCACGTGGCCAAGTGGTTAGAACGTTCGCTTTCTAACCATAAAACCTGGGTTTGAATCTCAATTTGTCATGAAGGTGATTCCAGCATGTGGCACATTTGGAAAGTGCCTGAAAATCACACCCTGGGTTGACCCAAGCTTTGTTACTGAAATTGATTAGATGGAAAACTTTGGGGAGCCATTGATTGTTGTGCTAGCACCAACTCACAAGTCATCGTGACTAAGGGTTTCAGCATGTTGGCCTTCTTCAGACTGTTGATCACACTAGTTAATGTGCTCTCTCCCAGAAACTGTAACTAATGTTTACTCAGTATAGTTGCAGTATAAGCCACAGGTGGGGATAGAGATAGAGACTATGTACATATAAAAGTAGACATTGAGATCAACACCAAGCAGCTTGGTGTTGAACTCATTGTCCACTTTTATATATACAGGGTTCAGCTGGAAAGTAAACTAAAAGATAAGTGTACCAGAATACAACACCTCTTATATCTTGGTACACTTGTAGGTCTTTTAGTTTATAAACTGGTGTGTCTACTTACACATATCTTGGTCAGCCTTGGATCAACTTCTTAATGTTGATATTAAATTCATTAAAGAGATGATTTTGAATGAGATTGAAAATACTTGGGAAAATAATAGAAATGAAAAAACTATGGCGTCTTCCTTAATGAATTTAATATCAGCATTAAGTTGATCCAAAAATTCAAGAGGATTAAAATAAAAATAAATAAGCATAATATGTCCAGATTATTCAAACATGCTTGAATGAAGTTATGCTGCCTAAATATATTCTAAAAATGCTTATAAACACTAATATAATTCTCCTCCATCAACTAGCATCTTGCAAAAACCAACATTGTATATCAATTTAAATGTCATTTGGGAGATTGCATCTCTGATAAAAATGCTAATGCATATATTTGTTTTACTACAACGATGTGGACGAGATGGCTTATATTTTACTTGAATGAGTATAGTTCAATATCAGGACATTTAAAGGAACACTTATGTCCATGGTTTAGACAAATATTAGTAAAAAATACATTGATATTTCATCAAAATAATAATAAGCAAAAACTTAAAATTCTAGAAGCCCTTTTATATAAGAGAATTGCAGCCCAAAATAAATAAAGTCAACTACGGGTACAACAACAAAGTTCTTAAATGTTTGTAGAAGCAAACTTTTATATAAAAATACTAAATTAAAATATTATAATTAAAAAAATCTTTTTATTTTTTAAATTACAAAAGTTAACTCCCTTGCATAACTGAAAATTTTGAAACTGATACACTGTAAATGAACAGTGAAAAAAATATTTTGAGTGTACAGAGCTACTGTATACACAAGCACAGATTTTTTAAACCCCTGAAGATGGTCACTTTGGAAAATAAAAATTATTTGAAAGAAAATTTTGGTATTTTTCTTGATCAGTTTTCTACAGCCACCAAGAGATTAATTCATGGACTTGAAAGGATTAAAACTAAAATAAATAGACATAATACATCTAAATTATTTGACCAAACAAGCTTATATATAAAGAATGTATAAACATAAAAATGTCTTAAAATATATATATATATATATATATATATATATATATATATATATATATATATATATATATCTGACAATCACAGATAGAATGAAATCCAGGGTCACAAACTCACATCAATCCAACTAAATATATATATATATCTATATATATATATATATATATATATATATATATATATATATATATATATAATTATTTTAAAAAAATATGATTCCTTCGCTAAGGAGTCATATTTTTTAAAAAAAAAATAATTATAATTTAAGCTCTACTTCTGTATGGAGCACTGTTTTTTAAAAATAAAAACAAAAATATTAAAGAACTCCGGATTATTTACCTAACGTGTTCTTTCCTATTTTTCTACATATCTGCACATATATATATGCATATATATATATATATAGGTTGCAATTTGATTTTGAGAAACGTCATCATTTGATCCATCGTCACAAATGGATAGCAATTTAGTCCTGCTAAAATCTTACATTGTCATGTGAAAATTTGGCAATGTTTTACAGTAGGCATTTATTTATCTATCTCACCAGATAAAGGAAGCACCCTGTTTGGTCAAAATTCAGCCCTTTGGTTGTGAAACTAGAGTGATCTTGCCAGAGTTCAGACTTGGGGAATGGTATATGGCGGCCATGCATTGCCAAACTTTATGCATTTCCACCCCCATAATTGTCCATACTGACAAGATCCAAAGGAATACAGGGCTTTACATTTGGGGACAGTTTGGCTGCAGGAGACGTCAGCAAAGTTGTCAGTATTTGGGGTTCCACTCTGGGTTTTCTGTCTGGATTTACTTCCATAACCTTTTCCATTTTTGGATATGAATGCAAGGCTGCAGAGGTTTAAAATCAGGGTTTCCCTTCCCTTAGATGGACAGCCTTCCTGGGCTGTCAAGCTCCATCTACCTAGATTTTTGCAGTAGTTGTTACATAAATGCTACATAAAGTGTAATGAATGATGTCTCTGTGTCTAGTGTCTTTGACGCTTTTTTGAGGCTTGCCCTATTTAGACATAACTACATTCATTACATGTTAGGTCAAATTTGTAGAAACATTTTGATGGAAATTAACATCCTTACAAATAATGTTGGCCTTCTGATGTGCCTGCTAGAAAGGATCAAACCTGCATTTCCCTTATCCTGGCAGAAACCCCTTTTAAGCAAGGTGGGCTTCAATCTCTCAGCCATGAAAGACCTCATAGCAAAGCAAAGCCCAATTAGCCGACACTATACGTGTATCCTGTTGTATTCTGGTACACTTGCAGGACTGTTAGTCTATCAACAATGTTTCAACTTACATTTGTATCTTGGTCAGCCTTTGAACTTTCCAGCTGACCTTCATACACACATGCACACACATACAAAATGAAAGAGGGAAAAAATCAATCTTGTACCAATGAAAAGTGCATCTATAAAAGAAAAACAAGAAAATAAAAAGTCAATTGCTGATATCCTCTGACGAGTGGGTGGAGTGATTGCTATAGAGTATGTTTATGAAACTCGAGAAGCTGAAGATAATGCGAATCAGCTAAGTAATAAATTTTATATTTGTATTAATTCTATATATAGCAGGTGTGCCTCAATTTCAAGCAATGTAATCACTTGATACTTCCTCCAATATGAATACATTCTCTAGCAAAGATCTGGGAATATTGGATTTTATATCAGTTGCATAATGTATAATGAATGAGTTTTCTTTGTGTGTAGTTTCTTTGATGATTTCTGAGGCCTCTCCTACTTAGACAAAACTACATTCATTATATGTTAGGTCAAATTTGTAGCAAAATTTTCAAAAAAAAATAAACATCAAAATTATTGCGAACATTTCTCTTGAGAGTTTCATGTGCAATGTTCAAAGTCTCTCTTACCATAATGCACTGCTTCCTTATAGGATAAACAATCTATACCTAACTTGATAAAATCCAAGAAGAATCTGCAATATTATTGATCCTGACCTGGCATCTCATTTTCAACACTTTCCCACCACCATAAAGTTGCTTCTCTGTATCTTTTCTATAAATACTTTTACAGTAATTGTTCAGATGAGCTCATTGCTATGGTACCTAGACTTTATAAAATTTAAGCATAGTACTAGACTGGTGTCAAGATCTCATCCATTTACAATTGGCTAGATGTAACCATAAGTTCTTTGCTAACAGTTTCTTTTCTCAAACTTCCAGCTTCTTGCTTTCTAGTTAACTTCAATCTTCAAAGATTTAAATGCAATGTCAATCGCTTTCTTCTGTCCTCCTGATTACTCTTCTATTGTTTTTGCTCCTTAGTCAAGTTTCTGTTTTCTAATTCTGCCACACCCAGTAACCCCCTCAGTCCTACTGGCTTTACGGCATCAATTGGAGTTGAAATGATTAAAAAAAATTCTGGAAGAAACCACTTTTAAGTAAGGTAGGCTTTAACCACTCAGCTATGAAAGACCTTACAGCAGAGAAAAGCCGAATTAGCTTTTTTAAAAAGTGCACATCTCTCAGCAGGACCTTTCAAGGACTAAAATAAAATTAGCAGATATAACTTTCGAAAGATCCCAATATATACTTTGTTCAATTTAATAGACAAAAGAGTCTAGTTGGTATTTGTAATGGTAATAGTAATATTAGTCATTTCCACACAAGGAAACATTTGGCATTCATTGACTGAGCAGCCAGTGTTATTTTTAGTTGAAATTTATAAAATCTTTCTATTAAAACAATTTTTCCAGGAAAATACGTTTCTTAAGTCCAGAAGCTGTTATTGCTTTTTCTAATTTTAATGGAGGTTTCTTTCCTAACCTTTTATTTAAAGTAGTGTGGAATGTCAACATCTTGATTATGCCATTGTTTTCTCTTCGCGTTACATGTGCTATCCATTTTAGTTGTTGCTGCTGTTGGCAGTCTTCAAGTGATGCTGTCTCTACCATTTGGTACAGTTCTTTGTGATTCTGTAATGACAATTCAGAAGGTTCAAAGAAGTGTGGTGTTTGCCAAGACCCTCAGGCTTCATTCGCTTGAAGCCATTTCTAACCATTGATCTTAAAAAGAAACGACTGCGTAAAAATGTGTCCCCTTTCAAAATCTAACTACCATAATCCTGGAGTTCGGGATATTATGAAAGGCTCTAAAAGGAGTAAGTGTTAATGTTTCTTTATTAAATGTCAAATCTAAGTGAATAGTATTTATTTGCACATACTTATGTCATGTTTCTAGATATTTGGACAAACGAATGAGATTTAATAAATATCATTTGTAACTCTCCTTGAATAAGTTTTTCAAATTGACTTCTCATTGATTTTCCCATAAAGAAACTGCAAGTGGATGTCTGGGACATTATTCAATATGCTGCCTTTTACCTGCTTAACAATGTGTCTGAGGAATCGGTTGACATATTTGGCATCAATATTAAATAAGAATTGCATTTTCTGCTTATCGTTCAATTTAATCAACTCTTATTGATTGTCTTGTAGTCTCGACTCGAATTTCTGTTAATATCTCAAATAAAAAATTTCCTTTATTCTTCTGCAATTCTTTTCTTTTGATAATGGTTGAGGCAGATTTTACAAGTATGCAAAGTAAGAAAATATCGCTGTGCTTAAAGTTCACAATGTGCACTGGTTATTTAATCTGAAACTTTGCCAGATTTTCCAAATCATTTTTATACAGAATAATCACACTTTAGTCAATTTCAGAGTGAGATGTTGAGACTTAGGCACCTCAGCATAGGGTAATGGTTAGCATTAGTACTGAGTAGTGAGTTTGATCCTCACTGGGTGTTCTATACATAATTTGACATTTGATAGCCCAACAAGGATTGGCATGTTATAAAATCAACCAACCTAGCTTGGTATGGTGTAATGGTTAATGAGGCTAGCCTGTGTGGCCATTACTACCAATTAATGAGTTTAATCCTCACTGGGTGCCTCATACAAAATTACCAGAAGAAAGTCGACCATGGTCAGGATCATAGAATCAATGTGAGCTACATGATCATTTCCTTAGCTGCATAGTATGCACTTTGCCAGGACTTCATACTGTTTTGAATTCAGATTTGTCCTTCTCCTAGACCGGTTGCCAACCAAGGCTACAGAGCTACACACTAGCCACCCAAGGCTATAGGACTCAGTCTGTCCTGCTATTTACCTATAGCCAGTAATCTGGGCTGGTCATTGTTAATTTCACCATTTAAAAAGATTAAAAATTGGAATAGCGACTCAAACATGTATACACACTAAAAATAACATTTATGCTAATCAGACATAATTTTGTGTCAAACACTATTTTTTTTCCATAATCATAGATTTCAAATCTTTAGTTTGAATAATGAATTATTTGATTCTAAAATAAGCTGTTCAGCATAGAATAGAAAATATTGATTATCAATAATTGATAGGCCAATAAGTCATTAAAACTAGGTTTATTATCTATTTTACTCTTGAATGGAATGTATATAGTGTATGTGCATCTGTTTGCAGCAGACAAACTCTTATTTCCTGTTATCTTTTCATGTGCAGGACAAGTATTTTTTGTTTTTTTTTCCAGTTTTCCATTTAGAAAAAATATCACTGCTTGATAGCAGAACATGCAATAAAAGCAAACAATAGAAATCCTACTTGGTTTTATTTGTTACAACACAAAAATAAACTTATTCAGTTGCACATAATTTTGAATATTTTTACAATTGAAAAACTCCATTGAAAATTTGTTTTCTAATATTTAACTATCCCCCCCTTTGTTTCTTCCATTTTTATGATAAAGAAATGAAGTCTGTTATATATATATATATATATATATATATATATATATACATACATACATGTATAACAGTTATGTGCCATGTGTGATACACACTTAGGTGATCATACATCTTTTGATACATGACTGACGAGGCAGATTTTTTTTCCACAGTATATTGTCATCTCTTTCTGTGGTAGACCAGTCACCATCCAAGGCTATAGAACCCAGTCTGTCCTGCTATTTATCCATAACTGGATGGAGAAGAAAAGGATTCATATCTTTCCCAAGGGTATTAGCATGTGAGTGAATGCAATGGATTCAACTAGAACTCAGACTCAGCTCTTCAATTCCTCAATCTGAGCCATTATCCATTACTCCACTGTGCCTCCTATATATATATATATATATATATATATATATATATATATATATATATATATATTTGTGCATGTAAAACCTCCTTTTGTCAGCAAAATATAGTAGACACTTTTGATAATAAAATAAGCCATGACTTTGTAATGTCCACTTCTGATGACATAGTAGAAATAGAATTTTATGCTATGTTAAATCTGATAAATAAAACTTCATAATTATTTAATGCCAAATAAAATGTTATTTTTATTTACACTATTTATATTGAGACTACTGTCGCCATCTTTGTTGTTATTATCAAGCTTCGGCTGCTGTGCCATCCAGCCTTCATCAGACATTAAAAATTCAGTCCAAAAGAATGTTATTTGTTTAGTTCAAAATACATAAACACATCAAACAATAGAAATTTTTTGATATTTCAATAGTTTATAGTTGTGAAATGACTTGTCTTTTTTTAAGATGAGTAAACTTATATAATGATTTATTCTGAGAATTCTGGTGCCTGATTTATTGGGTGGGGGAGCAGTTGAGGTGAAGTGATGAATCTGTGTGTGTAATTTGTTTTGTCTTAGAGAGCGAGCTAGCAAATTTGCTCTAAGTTTTCGATTCTTTGGGTCATGTGTCATCAAGTCATGCGGAAGACACACAACTACACTTTACAAAGCACACTGTACGCTATTACTGACACATCTACCACGCGTTGTATCACAACTCACACAGCCACCGTCACTCTCACCATCATTATTATTATGACTCATATTGCTACACATTTTTGGCTACTATTGCTGCCACCTTTTCAATGCTTGTCTAATTATACATTACAATATTAAAGAATTGGGACAGTAGAGATCGGATCAGGTCTTGTCTCTTTCTCTCTGTCCCTATATACATATATATATATATATATATATTCCCTTTTATTCTTTTTCTTACATTCTAACTCAATGTCCTTATTCTCTTTATCTTTCTTTTTCTCTTATTCAGGTTCTCTCTCTATTTTCATTCTCCCTCTTCTCTCACTCGTTCTTTTTTTTTTCACTGCCCTTTTTTCTCAGTCATTCTCATTTTTTCTTATTCTCTTTACTTCCTTTTCATTCATTCAATTTCTCTTTCACTCTCCATCTTTTTCATTCTTATATTCACCCAGACACATACTCCCCTCTCTCGCTCTCACTCTTTTTATTCTTCCTTCCTCACTTTTTTCTTTCTGCTTTTATCCCCCACTTTTCTCACTCTCTCCTGCTTTTATCATTCCTTCTCCTTCTCTTGCATTTTCTTTCTTACTCTCACATTTACACTCTCTGTCTCTCCTCTTTTTTGTTTCTTTTTTTTTCACAATATCTCTCTTTTCTCAGCCACAGTCCTTTTTCTTATTTTTTTCCTCCCTCCTCTTCTTGCAATCTCTCTTTCTCTTTTCATATAGTCTCTCTCTGCTTTCATTCTTTCTCCTATTTTATTTTCTATCTCCGCTTTTCTCTTGTAGTTTCTCTCTCACTTTCCCTCTTATTCTCTCTCTCACACACACATACTCTCTCTCTCACCTTTATTTCAGTCTCTCTTGCTATCCCATCTTTACTCTCTCTTTTTTCCATCATTTTCTTATTATCACTCCCTCTTTGTCATTCTCACTCCTTCTCTTGCACCTTCTTTCTCATTCCTGAACATATACTCTCTCTTTTCTCTCCTCTTTTTCTTTTTCGAATTTTCTCTCTTTTCTCTCTCTCTATTTTTCCTTATTCTATTTCTTCTTTTTCTCTCTTACTCTTCTCATGATCTCCATCTTCTCTCATTTTTACTCTTTCTCTCTTTCTCCTTTTTTATTCTCTCTACCCCCTCCATTTCTCTTACTATTTCGCCCACATTTTCCCTTTTATTCAAATGCATATATAGACATCTCTCTCTCTCTCTCTCTCCCCCTTCCTCACTCTTTTTCTCCTCTTTTATTACTATCTCTCTATTTCCTTCTTCTTTTCTTATACTTTCTCTCTCATATATATATATATATATATACACACACACACACACACATCCCTATCCCCCCAAGGCGGATCTGATGAAGGATCTAAATGCTCCTCTAGTTACAAGTATCAACTGTAAAACAAAATCCCTGAGTCAGTGAATTAAAAATGTTAATCAAGAAACATTAAACAATACAAAAACAAAGAAAACAGTCAATACGTATTGAAATCCGACCACCTGATAATCTTGGAAAAACCCAAGAAAAGAAAAAGATTATAAATCAGCAAATCTTCAATTAGGAAAATGAATGCCCATGTTTCAGCTGTGATGATCTGATTTCAGCACAGCAAAAACGGCACATTGTCGCACAGTTTATGATAGCACAATACCATTTAAATACTCTGACTTAAAAAGGAAGGATTGGAGAATTTAACATTCACAGGACAGATTGGAGACAAGAGAAGCAGAAGGAAGAGTGCAAGTCATCTATCTGATAAAATTGTACAAATAGACAGGCAGCTTATGGCCATATCATATTGAAACAATGGTTCCCGTGCAAACACCAAATTTAAGCAACATCAAGCCTGTTCAGTACATAGATGGTCAACTGTTTGTGAATACTAGACAATTGCCATTAAAATATCTATAGAAAAGGCACAGAGAAACTATGCCAGTCATGTTGATATTTGGCACGTTTTGGAGATGAAAAGACTATGAGACCTTTGAAATTAAACAATGAAAGAGAGTAAAGTTATTTGTATCCAAATTAAAATTAACAGCTTGTCATCTAATGGATGAAAGCAACATGACTAGCAAAGTGTCAATTCATATAGTAAGAAAGAGACTATGTAAAACAAAATTAATCCCAATGGATACATTGTAGCGAAGTTTAGTGATGTAATGGAGATCTGACTGTCACACAACACCTCCTACTCATATTGCTTATAAGACAGATAGATTATCACTAAATGTACAAAAGATTTATTTTATGTACCATGTTCCTTCAAGACATAAGTGATCATGGCTCTCCCCAACTTCCTAATCTTTTGGAAATCCAACCAATATTTGTAGAGCAATAGAGTTAGATCATCATGAAATGTACAAAAGACTTTTTTCATGTGCTGACTTCGTTCAGGACATGGGCAATCATGGCTCTCCACAACTTCCTATCTCGTATGGCACTTAGTAGCCATCCATTCACACAAACTCATCTTGCTGCCTTCCCCTATCTTTCTTGCCTTCAATATGCACCCCCACCAAGGGAGTGGGTAGAGTAAGGCAATGAGTCACTTACCTGACAAGCTTGTGTGGATTGGTGATTTTTTTAAATACCATCGTTCACCCAATACAAGAGCTACTCAAAGTAGAAAGTTATTGAATAAGGTTTTTATAAGGATGAAAATATTGATTGTTTTTTTATGGCTTATCAACCTTTTCAAGGTTATTTAAGGCTACAGTAAGAAATAGACTATGTAAAAGTAATCTTGATGGCTAGGTTGCAGCAAAAACATTGAATGATATGAAAACAGATATGGCATTCAATAACCCTTTACCTTGAATGGCTTTTTTATTGGGTGAACAATAATATAAAAAATTCACAGGTTTGATACCATCTTTCCTTGTATAGGATAATGGAAAATGGGTAAAAGAGGTTCAAATTTCAGACAGCACTGCCTCCTTATACTGCCTGTGAATTATGCTACCAATCTATTCATATGCTTAAATTCATAAAGTCTAGGTATCAGAATGCTCAGTAGAACAAGTGCCATGAAAATATTTATAGAAAAGATAAAAGGAAGCCATGTTATGACAATCAGAAAAGTTAATTCTTTTATTCTTGAATTCTGTGTGTGTATTTCTTTATCAGTGGTTTGCTTTCTATATCAACAGCTATATATATATATATATATATATATATATATATATATATACCGGGTGTAACAGGAAAATTGTCCAAATTATGTTACAGCATGGGATCCATCCCACAAAATGCTTAATATCTAAAAAAAAAAAAAAAACACTAAACTGAATTACATTTTTTTCCAGGTTTTCAGATAAGACACTTAGCCATCTTGATAGCATTTTTTGTAAGGATTACAGAAAAATCCTTTGAGTTATTCAGGTAGAAAGAGAACAGTTTAAAATCATTTTGTGCCAGCCCCACTATGTCTTCTCAACTGAGGAATGTTGAAAAAAAAAGATCATTCAGGCCTCCAGCAATGATAGCAACATTCATACTGTGGCTTCCATCTTCAAAGTCCATTCAAGAACCATCAAGAGAATAAGTTTAAAAAAGAGAGAACAGTAGAGAGAAAAACTGGAGCAGGAAGTCAGAACAGGAAGAGGGATTATCATTTCAACTTAGAGCTAAATACATTTTTATTGTTCAGAGTAGAGTCCAGTAGTGTTATAAAAACCTTGGAGAATTCTAGTAAGATATCTTTAATCATTTCTAAGATACAATGGTTCAAAGCTTAGTCTAACAATTGGACAATTTTGTTGTTGCATGATTTGGACAATTTTGCTGTTACATATATATATATATATATATATATATATATATATATATATATATATATGTGTGTGTGTGTGTGTGTGTCTGATTGAATAACTTACAGACATTATGTCTGCTTATTTTTATCATAATCCTTTCATATCCATAAATATTTTTCCATATGTTACAATTAAATTCATATTCATGAATCTGAAAGGCTTCTGATAAAAATAAGTAGACATAACATTTGTAATTTATTCAATCAGACATACCTAAAAGAGAATTTCCGACCTAAATATGCACACACATATATATATATAGATATATACAAGTTTCATTAAAGACAACTGACAAGGTACTGTGATTAAGCTTTTTATTTAATTTTTCTTGTGTTTGTACAAGTGTTTTCTTTTCTGGACACAGAGTGTGTAAAAACTGTCCAAAACTACAAACGACCAACATTGTTTACGAGTTCAAATGGCCTTTAAGGAACAGTGTTCCTGATCAAACCAAACTCATAAATAATTACATCGGTCACACTACTACAATGGCTATCCAGACGACTTAATTTACATCTATCCGACCACAGCTTCATTAGAACTCATTCAAACACGCATACAAACCAACCAGTCTCTATCCAAAAGATATTAGTAGAAAATACAAGCATAATAAACTCATCCACAAGTAAAAAAAAGATTAAAAATAATGAAAGCCCTAATATTAAAAAAGAGAAAACCAACATTCAATAAGATTAACTATGAACATGACCACAATGTGCTGACCATGTTTGGAAAATAAAACATTCCTATAACTCTAGATACATATATAACACAAGCCATAATTAAAAAGTAAAAATAAACTCATCCTTGATAATGGCTAAAAATATGGCTGAAAGCACTTGGAAATGCAGAATATTTGGACAGTTTTTACACAATTTGTGTTCAGAAAAGAAAACATTTGTACAAACACAAGAAAAATAAAATAAAAAGCTTAATCATCATACCTTGTCAGGTGTTTTTAATGAAACATGTATAAAAGAGGGATTGCTGCCTAAATACGCAATATATATATATATATATATATATATATATATATATATGGGATAATGATATATCAATTTATATATATATATATATCAAGAACAGTTTGGGAAGAAAGATGTATGACAAAGTGGAAACATTTTTGTGTGACACATTTTGTCTCTTAGGACTTCATCAGACTAGGTTTGTTTATACTGTTGCAATTGCAAATGCACATGAATTAGAGATGCTGGGAATTTAAAATTTGGAAAAAATTTTTTCCTAATAATGTGTTTTTGGGTTATGTTTTTTTTTTAATAATTTGTTTTGTGTATATAAACTGGCCAATTTCATTTAGATTCTTTTTCTTTTTATTCTTGTTTCCATCATCTTTGTTATTAAATATCCAATATTGTGATAATAGAAGATCTGCCAGGAATGATGAAACGTTGTAGGAACCTCGGTTTAGATTTACTGTGGATGAATTAGTGAAAGCACTTTCTAGACATTTTCATCTTAGTGAATTATTTTCTCTTTTCATTAGAGTTGCATTTTTTATATCAAAATTATGGTCAGTCTCATTACGGTGAACAATCAATGTGTTTTGTGTGTTGTTTTTTAAATGTCTTTTTTGTTTACATATAATCTTTTATTTAAACTTTTTGAGGTTTCTCCAATATATTCTTTCTGGCAATCTTTGCAGGTGATAGTGTAAATTCTTCCTTCATGTTCTGGTTTGTTGTTTTGTTTTGTATTGTTTAAGTCTTTTATTATTTTAAATGTAGTTGTGACAAGTTTTGTTGAGTTTAGATAAATTCTTTTCAATTATGATAGCCTTAGTAGGTAAAAGAATATATACTTTTTTTTATTTGTTGGGTTTGTCAGGAAGGACTGCTTTTCTATTTTGGAATATTTTATGAACCTCTTGTTTCACATTGAATATGAAATACTTAGGATATTGGAACTTTTATGATTGATTCCTGCTATGTGCCATACCAATTCCAGATCATAGTTTCTGTTTTACAAAGGTTTATTTTGAGTCCTATTTCCTGGAGAAACTGCTAGAGGATGCTGTTTTTCTGTTCATTATCCTAACTATGAATATCAAAATGTCATTGCTATAGCCCAGCTCATCATCAGTATATTGGCCTCAGGAGAGGAAGTCTAGAAAATGATGACGTTAAATGTTAAAAATTAGAAGTAAAAAAAATTAAAATTTGAAGTTTAAAAACTGTTTAAATCTTTTACATAAATTATACTTCATTTCCATTACGTCAATTTGTTTCCTAAATAATTTATTT